GCCGCGGGAGGGCGGCCGCCGGTCGGGGATGGGCGCCGGGGGACTCCGCGCGCTGCTCCTGGCGCTGGTGGCCGCGGGGACCCCGGCGAGCGCCTACAATCTCGACCCGCAGCGCCCCGTGCGCTTCCAGGGCCCCGCCGGCGCCTTCTTCGGCTACGCGGTACTGGAGCATTTCCACGACAACACGCGCTGGTGAGTGCCCCGCGCCCCGGCCCGGCCGCCGCCGCCTTTCCGGCCTCCTCCCAGCCGCCGTCCCCGGGGGGCGATTTAAACGTCTCCGCCGCGAGGACGCGGCAAGGGGAGGAGGATGCCGGCCCGGCCCCGCCGACATCCCGGGCAGGGACCGGCGGCTCTCGGGACCAGGCTCGCGTCCCCTGCCGCCGCTGCGCGCAGGAAGCGCGGCCACCGGGGAGGGGGTAGGGCGGGAATGGGGCTCCTGGGTCGGGGCCCGCACCCCGAGCCTTCTGCAGAAGCTGAGCTGAGAGGTGCGGCGGCTGCGGGAAAGGGGACGGCAGAGAACCCGAGGGGACGAAGCCGGTGTGGCTGGTCCTTGGTAGCCTGGGCCTTATGTCACGGGTGCCGCCCGTCCCGGAGACGAGCTCCGGAGGGGCAGGCGAGGGACCTGGCTCTGCGAGGTCGGGGAGCTTAGGTCCGGAGTGCAGAGCAGCGAGCCTGAAGTGCCCAGTCCGGGAGGAGCCCTGAGGGGGCTGCTGCCCTCCTTGGTCTCTCCCTCGCGATCTCGCTTCAGGATGGGGTGTACCGAGGGATCCCCAGTGTGGCATCCCTCGGGGTGACAGGTCGGACATCGCAAGCAGCGATGCGTGTGCTGTCTGCTAGGAGCTCTGCAGGAAAGTCTCTGTTCTGAATCGGACAAGCCGATAGCGAAGGGTGGGAGGCGACTCGAGCTCCTCACGCGTTCCGGAAAACCGGAACACTGCGGAGGCCGGCCAGCTCTTTAGTAACAGTGTTTAGGAGAGCTGTCTCCGAGAGAACTCATTTTCTGAGTCCTTGTGTAGCACTTGTCTAGCTCCGCGTCTGCTCCCTAGCATTTACCCCTGTTAAGTTTTAAGACATAACTTTCTTCCCGCACTTGCCAAGTCCTCTTTATAAGAGAGAGCAGGCTGAACACCTTCCCTGTGTTTTCCAGACTTCAGGTCCACCGTGGGCTTTAGATTTGGTACAAATGCAGCCGGGGCAAAAGCGGTTGGAGAACGCATCCCAGAATCCCATGCTGGGCTTCTGGGCGTGTGACCTTGGCACCAAACACTTGGGAACAACTGTCAGAAATAGAGGGCTGCTCTGGGTAGGGGCCATGAGGCCCAGTGGGTGGTCGGGGGTCCAGAGCCTGTGTGCCATCTACCTGCTGCAGCTGCCCGCAGTGCCTTGCCACCTTTCACCACTGGAGGGAGAGGTGGCAAGCTCCTGTCACCTGGATTTGGATGGCCCACAGGTTAAAGCTTCCTCAGTTGGAAACAACTAGAGTCCAGAGCAGACCCAGAGAAGAGGTGTTCAGCCAGCTTAGTTTTTTTTTTCCAAAGTTTTATTGATAAACATATAGCAATGAGACAGTTTCAAATCAAATCGAAAGTACAGTTTCAACAAATAATACACTGCATATATTCTTCTTAGTGGTTAATTGCTGTACAAGATGCAGACTTGTGATCCTACTTACAAACACCATTAGAAAATATCATTCTATTCATTAAGAGAATGCAACTATATATCTATCCCAACCACTTTGAATACACAGATACAAAATGGACATTCATAGTTATACCCCAATTTTTTTTTAAGTTCCATTGTTGAATATTACAGCCAGCTTAGTTTTGAAAAGGGAATGAAGAAAAGCTGTGTGGGAAGAGACCTGGAAAGTGCAGGAAAGGACAGTCTGGCTTCACACTTGGCACCGAGTAGGGAGTCCCTGGATGGTGCTGTTTGGGGCTGATCTTGTTGCCAGGACAGGGACAGGTATTTCTGGGGTCCATGGGAACCCCTGCATCTGTACTGCTGGACTTGCCATGTCCCCTCCAGTTCTGATGCTGAGCAGCTTCTCTTTGTACTGGCATGATTGTCCCTTTCATGGACCTACTAAACTCTGCTAAAATCTTTTCGAAGCAGATCCCCTTTCCTCCCACATTTGTCATGATTTCATTTATTTTTAATTTTTTGCCTCTTATTGATTTCTATTCTTAATGTTTTTCTTCAACTATTCTCTTTTCCCATTCTTTACTCTCTTTCCTCTTCCTCTCCAAGACCTTGAATGTGTTTTCTGTGAATTATGAAACCAGTCTTAGTGCTATAGCCTTTGGAGCAACCGCTAACATTTCCTCCTCTCTTTTTTCTAGGAGGTAGACAGAACTCAGGAGGAACGAAGTGTAAGCTTTGGCCTCTCACTTGCACAGGCCCCTATCAAGACCCTCTGATAAAATTTTGCAATACCTTTCTTAAAGTCTGGGCTCAACTTCAATGTATAAGCTTCAAGTGCTATGGAAACAGCATCTCCCCTGGTCTCCACCTTAACTTTCCATTCAAGGGTTGGTGGGTTGACTTAGTGACTTATTGTTGGACTCCTACCACTGGGCAGTCTGTTTCTGTGTCTTGTGTTTTCAAGCTCATTTGAGGGGCATATAGTTTTGTTTCCAGTTATTCATAATTATAAATGACAGCTGGAGAAAGCGTCCTTATAGCTAATTCCTTATGGACATCCTTAATTATTTCCTTCAGATCAATCCTTGGGGTTAGATTTGCTGAGTTAGAGAGGATGGTGGCTTTGAGGCATTTTTATTGCACTACCAAAGTGCTAGTGAAGTTGAAGCGTGCACTTCAGGAAAATGCATTGATTTATTTAGGCACTGGGGTTTGAGTAGTTTAGTAAAATGCTGCTCTAGAGCACTAACGACCATAAAATCCTATATGGATTTAAGAAGATCACAAAAATAGTCAAAATAGATAAGGAAAATGACTTATCTTGGCACCGAGTAAGGAGGCCTTGGATGGTGCTGTTTGGTGCTGGTCTTGTTGCCAGGACAGGGGCAGGTATTTCTGGGGTCCATGGGAACCTCTGCGAGAGAGAGAAACTAGTCTCATCATTGGTAGCAGGCCAATGATAGAAAAGAAAAAGTGTACCGAAACTTTGAAGGGAAAAGATGATGACTGCCAGTTAACCCTTATGTCCGTGCCTTTCTTCTGGCTTTTGGAAGCTCTTTGATTATTTTGTAATTGAAGAACGTTTGCTCCCTACTGATTGGCCAGATACTTCACAAGTTGTCTCTAGGGATGTGTGGTATATACGGTGTGGAACATGCTGGAAGGGGTGGGGAGAGCCCAAGCCCAGGCTGCAGAGCTGAGGGTTAGTCAGCTTTTTACACTGTAGCAATACCTGAGACCTTCAACTTGGAGGTAAAGTTGGTTGTGACTTGAAGCTTTGGAGGTGTCAGGTTTCAGTCTGTGATCTGTTGCCCTTTACCCTTGCTTTTGGGCCTGTGCTGGGGCCGCACATCATGGTAGTGCCTGTGCGAGAGCACAGCCATTCACTTCATGGCCACGGAGTGAAAAAAGAAAGAGTAAGGGGTTGGGGCCCAAATTCTCTTCAAAGACACATCTCCAGTAATTTACTGCTAGGCTTCAGCTTTTAAAGTTTCTGCCACCTCTGATGGCACTAAGCTGGGGACAAAGCCTGTAAAAAATGGGCCTTTTGGGGGCATTCCAGACCTGAACCACATCCAGCTTGTTTTCTGAGACCTCCACATACACATCCCAAAGCATGGCAATGCGGTCTGTGACTGCAACTCTTACTACTTTATTCCTATAACCGAATGTCTCTATTCCCACACAAACCAAAATTGTGACCAAGGAGTCCCAGATGCCTGCCTAAAGAATGGAGTGATCTTGCTTTCTCAGCCCTGTGCTAAGTCCTTTCCTGTAGCCATATCCTACCAATGATAGAGACTGCAGACCTAGTTTCTCTCTCTCAAAGAGCTCATTTGACAGCACCCCTGTCTCCGTACCCTGGGCAATGAGAATTGTCCCTAGGGCTGATGGACCAGGATGTAACCTGAGGACACTTGCATTAGTTTGGGAATCAACATACACGTGCATCAGTTTTCCTTCTTCTAAGGAGGCCCAGATAGTGTCCGCCCACCCAGAGCTCTCATATACCTCCCACTCCTGGGTCTGCTGGCATCCTTTGAACCACAGCAGTAGGTGCCAGGGGACGTGGACAAAGCTGATTTCTGTCCCTTTCCCTAGCAGTTCCTCAGCTGCAGAGCCGACAACTGTAACACTGTGTGATATAAATAAATGCACTCAGGCTGCTGTATACCCCCTCCCTTCCCTCTCTGCCCCAGACGCCCTGGAGTTCGAAGTGGTCGGGTGCACTGGCTTCCTCTCTGGCGACGTGCTTCCTGTCGCCTCTGCTGGGACACGTTGTGAGGGCTGTGCTCAGGCACAGAGCAAGTGCTGGGAAATGCAAGATGCCCTAACGTTTTGCTTTTGTGGGGTTGTTAGAACACCACTGAGTAAGGCATAGGAGGAAGTTAGGCCTAAGGGGGAACACAGCCTTGTATTCAGGTTGAGAATTAAAAGCGTAACTGGCACTACAAAATGGAACTCGAAACATTAGATTTTTTTTCCTTTAGAGGCAAGTGACTTGTGAACTTCCTCAGGCCTGGGGCATAACTGGCTACCTTTCCTCCACCCAGAAGAATGGATAGAATAAGTAAGCCTGATTTTCTTATGTAGAGGAGGGAGAGGTCTGGGTTCTGGAAGGACTGGAACTAAGCTGAGCACGAGTGCTGTTCCACTGTATTCCATCCCGCACTGTACCTTGCTGTTAGAGACCCTTACCTGCCTGTATGTGCCGAGACGGGGAGTTGAGGCAGATGGGCCCTTATCTTTGAGAAAGTCTTTTCTGATTTTTACCAAAACAAATGGCTTCCTTTGATTTGGTCAGCAGTGAGCCAACAAATCTGACTTTGTGAACACAAGTGGCCTGACAAAGGAACAAACCACTGTGAGTCTTTGACTTATAAACAAATTCCACGCTGGGACAAAGTTTGTAGATTGAATTTGTTTGTAATCTAACAAACAAGTCTGGTACAGGACACCTATGAAAGTTTGCAACTCCTATGTTCATAAGCCTGAGACTTACTGCTGAATGTTCTGGAGAGCTGCTCAGTGTCGTTACCTCTAGC